AATCACTTCGTTCATCTCCACCATCCTTCACTTCGTCTTCTCCGGTTCAAAATCGTAAGCTTTTCTTTCTTCATTTTTATTTCTTTTGTTTACGCAAGAATCTCTTAAATCGTTTTCCGTGCAACAAGCCGCAAAGAACACTTCTTCCTGTGTTGCACCAAACAAAGCTGTAATACTCAATTGCTTCCCATAGCCCTCTTCGTCCTCTGACTAAGTAGATCAGGGACCATGACGGCATAAGATGATGAACCATGAATTTTGATCGGGTTTCTTCTTCATTCTCTCACCATCTGTTTTAAGCTTCAAGTGATGAATTCTATATCTTAAATCTGGAGCTATCATATGTTGAATACTCAATTCATAATAACTAGCTTTAATCAAAATTGCTCTCCCGTTATCTGGAGGGGTAATTAACCATAGAAGCTTGCGCCCATGAAAAACATTGAACCTCATATAAAAAAAATATCCTTACAAAATGAGGGTGAAATCTATGAGTAGTGTTTTATCTACAATTTAATCAGTGTTCTGAAAATTAGACCACCCTAAGCTCTCTGAAAAAAAAATAAAATTAAATGAAAGAGTTGTTCTCGGGGAGCGATGGTGAATTTTCAGAGCCCACATAATTTCTCAGCTATTACAATCTTATTCAACATATTTGCAAGATTCTTTGTATGTAACTTCTCCAAAGATAATTGATAATCTTCTAAAAATGAACGAATGAAATGATATTTTAGCTTCATGTGCTTCGTCCTGACATGAAATGTGACATTCTTTTTTAGATGAATGTCAACCATATTGTCACTATGAAACTTTTCGTTCCATTACTCCTTGTCATGTTTTGTCATAAAGCTCTACATTCAAATAATTTCCTGCTAGTCTAAGTGATACCAACACACTCAATTTATATAGTCGTTCAAGCAATAATCTTCTACAATCTGAAAATTCAACACACTTTTTGTTTCTTAAATTGACGGTATAACAAGATGAACTTTTTCCACCATCAATATCACCTATAAGATCTGAATCTACATATCTTTGTAAATTAATATATGCACTTCCATTGTTTGTTTTGGTAATTGTTCCTCTCAAGTATCTTCACCATCACTTAATGATCATTCCCCATATTGCTTGTGTGCTTGTTGACTACTCTTACTATATGTGTAATATCTGGTCTTGTAAATATCATCACATATATCAAACTTCTAACAACTGAAGCATAGAAGGTTATTTTCATTTGCTCAGTTTTAGACTTTGGTGGATTATTCCTTAGATAGTTTAAAATGATTGCCTAAGTAGACACGAACTAATTTTATCTCACTCATGTTGAATCTATATTAAGACTTTCTCAACATGTCATGTCTGAGACAACTTCAATATACCATACACTTGCCCCTACTGATTCTCATACTAAGAATTTTCTTAGTTGGACTTCAATACTTTATTTCAAACTCTATTGATAATTGTTCATTTAAGTCACGGATCTTCTCTATATTTGCTCATGCAATTAGCATGTCATCTATATACAAAAGAAGCATAATAACAATTATCAAAATATTTAATGAAACAATAATGATCTAATTGACCTTCGTGAACTCATTGCTTGACACTTCGTGTACCCACAATTTGACATAAACCAGCCAAATCTCTTTTAACATTGTCTTGGTGTCTGTTTCAAATCATAAAAAAATTTCTTCAGTTTAGAAGTCATATCTTCTTTTTTTGAACTTCATATCACTATGATTGCATTATGTACAGTTCTTCTTTGAACAGAAGAGCACAAATTAATATAATACATAAAACACAAAGAATACAAGATTTAACGTGAAAAAAATTGATAACAGATAAAAATAATAAAGTCACACCACACCAAGAAATCTACAATGAAGAAAATGAGGAGAAACATACAAATTACACCACACTCAAATCTCTCCAAACAGTATAGCGCTTCAGAATGCTCCTCTCCTCTCTTTAGTATAAGAGAAATCGAAATCACATGCGCTCTATTGGAGAACGAATCAAATTCGGAAAAGAGCGTCTAGTTGCCCAGATATGTAGTTGCAACGCTCCAATGACCATTGGGCAAGTGCATCAGGGCATTGCAATGTCGCTCTCTCGCATTCTGAATCTGGAATTGGCATTGTGGCGTTGTTATTCTTTGCGTTGGGGAGCTCCCCTCAGGGTGTATTGGAGTGTTGTGCTCTCGGGTTCTAAAATATGGACTTTAGCAAAAGAGAGATCAAAATCGTATACCCTCCATCAGAGAACGAATCAAATTCGAGTAACAGTGTCGAGGCGCCCCGATATAGAGTTGTCGTGCTCCAATGAGCCTTGGGTCAGTGCATCAGAGCATTGCAGTCTCTCTCTCTCTAGCATTTTGAATCTAGAATTGGCGTTGTGGCATTGTTATTCTCGATGTTGGGGCGCTCCCCTCCGGGTGTGTTGGAGTGTCGTGTTGTCCGGTTCTAAAATCTAGACAGGTGTTGTCCCCAAACCCAATATAAGTAAAAAACACCCGTACCCCCCTCCCCGAGGTGTGTTGCAATGCGCTGATGCCAGTGCATCAGGGCATTGCAATGTCGGTCTCTCGCATTCTGAAATTGAAATTGGCATTGTTATTCTTTGCGTGGGGGAGCTCCCCTCCGAGTGTGTTGAAGTGTTGTGCTCTCGGGTTAAAAAATATGGACTTTAGCAAAAGAGATCAAAATCGCATACCCTCCATCAGAGAACAAATCAAATTTGGATAACAGTGTCGAGGCGCCCCGATATGGAGTTGTCGCGCACCAATGAGCCTTGGGCCAGTGCATCAGAGCATTGCAGTCTCTCTCTCCCGCGTTTTGAATCTAGAATCGGCTTTGTGGCATTGTTATTCTCGACGTTGGGGCGCTCCCCTCCGGGTGTGTTGGAGTGTCGTGCTCTCAAGTTCTAAAATCTAGACAGTCGTTGTCCCCGAACCCAATATAAATAAAAAACACCCGTAGATGAAAGTACGAGCTAAGAGTAAACAATTGATCAACGCAATCGGTCTCCATAAAAAAAAATAAAGTCTTATGTCATCTTAGGTTAACTTAAATTTGTCCGCTTAAATAAACATATCCAAGATCTACAAAGATCGCTTGGATGACACGAATTATGGTTGTTGACAAAAGTTCTCATGTGAGATTAGGTTGACTGCCTCATCTGACTAAGTTGATTAGGGACCATGACGACCCAGAATGATGGAACCATGAGATGTTTAACAGGTTCATCATTTATCATATCATTCACTTTAAGCTCAAAATGATAAATTTTATAATATAAACTCTAATTCAGCTGCCACTATATGTTGAATATTAAATGTTTCATGATTAGCTTTAATCGAAAGTACTCTTCCAATAATTAATCATAGGAGCTTGCGTCTATGAGAAATCTAGAAGCCCAAGATCAAAAAGTCCTCGCAAAATAAAGACAAAATCTATTAATAGTGTCTTGTCTACAATCTGATCTACTTTAGAAATTTTAACTTGGAATACCAAATACAAAGCTTGCAATATTGACGAGAGTCTGAAGTGTTGAATTTTCTGAGCCCACAAATACCTCCATTCAGACTCCTATATGTTCCTTTTCTTACATGGATCTCATTTATTATTCTTTATATAAGATTCACATTGTTCTCTCTGCCACATAATGGTCCACTACTCTTACAACACTCAAAATCTCGAATTAACAAAACATTTGATTGCTTTATCTTTAGTCACTGTTAATTCCAAATTCAAATTGACATTTTTATGTCTGCTTAAGCTACTGGGAAAGTGCTACCATATCAAAACTATAACAAGGGCTAACTATTTATAATAAAATTATGCACAATTTATTACCGAGGATATTATCCTTTATTGTATTTCATTTTAATGTTTTTTCATTCCGACAACATATAGGCAATATATGTTTGCATTAAAGTAGCAATTCAATAAATATGTAGTCCTTTATTATTCTCTTTATTCTAATATGATACGATATGGCCTATCGAAGTTGATCTCACTCACTCATTACCATTGATTTTAAGCTTGATAATCATGATTTTTTAAATGAATTAAATCGAGTATTGTTAGTGACACTGTGGAAGTTATAAGAGTTCTTCTGGTAGTGAATCCAGTAGTGGAGGAGAGAAAAAAAATAGAAGAAGAGTTCTAAAGTGATAAATGCTTTGCAAGGGAGTTGTGTTGCAAGGAATTTCCAAGATCAAGAACTTCAAGTTTCAAATCAGGCAGAAAATTATTGAAGATCAGGAATTAGATTAAATTGCATTTTTATAAAGAACTTCAGAATTGATCGTGTGTTTGAGAAATATAAAGTAGCTGGAGTGTATGAATCATAAAAATGTAGACTAAAGGTACTAAAATATTGTGTTATTTCAAATATCTTCAAATTTAGATGAGTGCAAACACAAAGCAACATCAGTAAGCGATGATATTGGCAACGGCAATCAGGCGGGGGATTATGGACGAAGGAAGTAACAATGGAATGGTGGTGGGAATTATGAACGTGCAACACAAACCTTAGAAGGTGCCTGATTTGAGCTATTTTTAATTCAGAAAAACATAAGTTATGCATACTTCAAATCACACAAATTTTAAATTTGTATTTATTTTTTCATTAAATCTAACACCAAAAAATTGAAATGTAGGGAATTAACACCAAAAAAATTGAAATGTAGGGAAATGAAAATTGTTACAAACAAATGTTTTTGACAAGCTAACTCCTAAATATACTTTCAAGGAATCGGAAATTAGAAAAAAAAAAGTCACTAATCTCATAAATCAAATATGAACGTAGAAATTAAAAAATTTAACTCGTGAAAAAGTTATTCAATCCCACCAAAGTTTTCATGGGTAAAATGCAACAAATCAAGACATTTGCATCATATAATACATAGTACTTGTATAACTATCAGAAAATTGTAAGACACAAATACATTTTATTAAATTTCATCTCATCTGCCAATTAAATGAGATAGAATGTACCTGACTGAGAAGCTTTGGCTTGTCCATAGTTGAAAATGTAACTTCATGCATGGGTCTGCATCAAAAGGAGGGGTGAACCAAACTTAGTGATCAAGTAATATGCAAGTGTCATAACATGAAACAATGATAAACAAAGAGCTTCTAATATTAACGTATTTTATTTGAAATAGAACCCTAGAATTCTTGTGCTCATTAGCATGCATTTAGATGACAAACAACATTGACCTATAAAAGGTGTTACTATATTTTTTCATTACGGGTATTTGAAATATTGATTTAATTTAATTTACTGATCAGGCAAAACTAAAGCCCATAGTACAACGAAATAATTATACTAAAGTTTTTGCACATTGAGGGAAACATATAGTAATGAGTTCTAACTCCCAAGATAAGTAATCCAAACATAATCTGCGGTGGATATTATAATTTGACTTAGCAGATCAAATTTTAACCATTTTTTGGTTCAATTTAAGATCAAATCAAGATAGCCCATAGCCAAACATGGCTAAGCTCGTGATAAGATCAATTGCCTTTTCAAATGACTTTTGTGATGATCTTGAGAATCCAGAGTGAATCATTAACATAACAAAACATATATTTACAAGGCAATACCCTTGAATTACAAGGGACTGTAATGAGAAATATTAAATTTAAAGGTTGTATATTAAGAAGTGTGTATATTGAAAAAATTAATATTAGATAATCTAAATAGAAAAGATCTAAATACATTTTCTTTTCTATATTATAAAGCATATTAAATAACCTAATTAGAGGAGATCTAATTGCATGATCATTTTTAAATTAGAAATATACCTAATTTATATGCCCTAATCATCTCATATTTATAGAAGAAATTATGAATGATTTTTGTGTGTGGAGTTGTAAGTTTATTTAGACCTTTTTATTCTCTACCCACCATTAATATAGTAATAACCTCTTCCCATTGACATAGACAACTTTGCACCGAACCAAATAACTCACAATGTGTTTGATTGTTTGTTTGTTGTGTGATTTTATTTTTCACATTGTTCTGCACAACAGAGACAACAGAGATAATAGAAATGAAATAAATTTGCTAATTGTACTGTGAAATTCAGAGCTTGAATTAATATAAGTAAAGTATAAGTAAATAAATTAAAATCAAAATATTGAAAAACAAATTTAACGGTAATCCAATATATTAATGTAATTAGTAATTAAAATAAGTCAAGTGGTTTTTGAATTCAACTTCAAATGAGTCAAGTGGTGATCATTGAATGAGCCAAGTGTCAACATCAACATTCATATACAATAGCTTACATACAAAATATATGATGTGCACTTGTATGTCTTCGAAAGAACTAGTACAAAGCATAAGGTAATCTACAACATTCTATGAATATTTGGACCATGAAAAACAGCACCGCACATAATTGTTCAGCAGTTAATTAATACAATGAGCATAACATTGAAAAAAAACCTGGAAAAGTTAGACATGGTTTTTGAAGCACTGTCCATATCTTGAACATGTTCTTCATTGACTTCAAGTGCAAGAATCTCAAGATTTGTTGATGAACCAAATGTTGGAGGAGGATGAATGCTGAAACATGGTCAAGTAGTATCACAAAAGAATAGCTCAAATCATCAGAAAGATTATAACAGCGTAAGGTTGATGCATAAACCCTTCATCCCAAATGCCCCAACGCAAAAGAAGAAAAAAAATGAAACAAGTATGATATGAAAAACTTAATTGACATTAAAAATTAGGGAATAAAAAGAGGAAGGCATAGAAAACTAGCAATCCTGCTTATTTGTAATAGCTTATCAAAGATTAAAAAAAAAAATAACCAAAGAAACTGTAGCTTCAGTTGATGACCCAACACAGCATTTCATTTCCTAAGAAATTACATTTTTTGAAGAAATTCTAAAGTCACGCTTGCTTAGTTTTTTGGCTATAATGAAATCAGCATATAATTAAGTTCATCTGGGAAATGCAAACAAATGCCTCTTCACCATTAAAAACAATTCTAGTGAAAAACAAGTAGAAAAAATTATCCAATCATCACTAGTCATCACTATGACTCACATATCAAAAAAAAAAAAAACAATTTTTTCAAAAAAAAAAAGTTACTCCATCAAATAAGTTGATGGAAACAAATTTCAATTCATTTTCTTCTTTTTTAAATTCTTCAAACCAAATAGAGCCTAATTGTCCAGTAATACTTAATTTCTTCTGAAAACAACTTCGATACTGAGAGCCCAACCACTAAATTATAAAGGGACATTTACAAACATAGCACACAATTTTTATGTATTTAAATATCTCACACCTAAACTTTCACAGTTATGTACAGCAGTCAAATCATTAATATTACATCAAAAATAGCACTATTACCACATTTTAAAAGTGAAATACACATTTTTCATGCATAAGTTAAGAGCAACAAGATGCTATGTATGTGAATATAAAAGTTTTGTTATGAGATATGTAAATACATAAAACTTATGTGCTGCCTATGTAAATTTCCCAATTATTAAGCAATATGCATGCATAATTGCTGTCACGGTCATGTAGTCAGCACAAGATGCAAATTTGTCTTCAAGTTCAAAATTGCATAAATGATAATGAAAACTACACACAATTTCCAAGATTCCAACAGTTTTAAAGATAGGAAGTGAGGAAATAAAAACTTTGCTTCGAAGTTTGTATTGATCTCTTGAGACGAGCTAAAACAATAAAATACAGTTGCTTGACATTAAACTAAGTTAAAATTTAAGAAATAATAACAGGCAGTGCTACTTTTAATGATAGAAATCTCACCATGTATCTTCTTCCGACTGTGAATTAGTACCAAAGGATTCTCCCCGAGGCATCTACAGAAATAACTCAGATCGTTAGATTAGGTTAATAACAAACTTAAAAACTCTTCTTCTGCAGATCAAAGACATGATAAATACACTTCGAAAATAGTTGATCAAGCACCCAATAATTAAAATGGTTCTAATTCAAATAAGAATCGACAACTTCCTTGAGAATCATCAAACACATAGGGTTAATTAGCATGAAAAACTGAAGGCAAGGTTCGGGTGGTACAGTTAATTTCATGCTTTTTTCGGTATTTAAAGGTCGAATATCGGCAAATAAAGTTCTTTGTCGAAAGGTTAACTTTCAATCTAATTGAAACAATTCCCAAACTGAGAAGATAATGTGCAGCAATAAGAATAAAAAAACCCGTCAAATTCACCTCCCAGGATGAGGAGATGACGGTAGATAGAGAAGTGCAAAAAGAAAATTTAGGTTTTTGACCAGATTGATTACAAATAATTCTTACACCTGAACAAGCCGAATATCAAAAGCAAGCTGAAGGACGGGGTCTTGAGCCTGCTGTAGCAATCTCTTGTGGGTTAAGACATCTTCCGCCCTCTCTACATTCACGTCCAATGCGTAACTATCAAAATAACCACAATGTCTTAGTCCTGGAAAGAACCAAAAACTTAGATAAACGGTACAACAAATTCGCCCTCAACATGAATTCAAGATTCAACAAACAAAGGTTATCTCCAAAACAGTGATGAATAAATCGGGCAATTGTCCGGTTAAGAATGATTAGAAATTCAAGGCGTTAAAGCTGACAAGCATATCCATATAGCATTCCTCCAAAAAGGATCTCGACAAAGCAAGCAGATTGCGATACAAGCCGTGCATGGTCAAAAAGAAACAGAAAAAAATGAGGTCAAAAATATAATCACGAACCAGAAAAAGAAAACTGATCGCATGATCAGCAGTGAAAAGTACAAAAAAAAAACGTACCAAATGAATCAAAATCAATCACAGAACGAAGGCAAGAGAGATTCATAAACAAACGAAACAAAATGTCGAAAAGTTACCGGGCTGGTAGGCGATTGAAATGGGACCAGAGCTCCTCCTTGAACGAAGGAGCCAAAACCTCAGGGGAACCAGATTCCATCAGCCGGCGGAGAACCTCCTTGTAAACACCGAACTTGCTGTTCTGCCGCTGATACTGCAAGGGTTTCTCCGGCAAAGCCCGGCTTTCACAACTCTCAGCATCGTTAATCGCCATTAACCGATTCCCAACAACACAACCAGAGGCCAGGAGCTCAATATGTAGGGTTTGAATGGCGCCAAGAAAGCCGACGAGCGCGTTCACGCAGTTTCTCGAGAGCCTCGTGACGACAACGATAAGATGCGGAAAATTGATCGCGGGAGATTGGAGCTGGTGGGAGGAAAATATATAAACAAAATTAATTAAAATATTAAGAAGATTTACATGCACGTCACTTAATTCATATGTATTTACATATCCCTAATTTAATTTTTTACATTTATTTATTTATTTATTTATATCTTCTTAAATTTTAAAAAATAATTATTTTTTATATAATATAAAAATTTAGGTCAAATACTAGACCTGTAAATACATAAAAGTTTGGTGGTATGAATGTAAATATCTCCAACGGAATGGGTAAGGATAAAAACGAGTAAAATGAGATCAATAGGGTTTCTTGTGCAAATTAATTACGGTTTTAAGGCGGCTTATCTTATCCTCGGCTGAACTTGGCGGGCCCATACGTGTGGGGCCCAGCCATATGCCATAAAGATAAATATATGAGATGCCACGTATGATTTCAATTGTTCGGCTTGTAAACATCAACGAACCACTTCGATGGGTCCCATATTAATTTTTTAATGTAATACCAACATTTTATGTTTATAACCTTGTCATTACGGTATCTTTAATACTGAAATTTTTATTCTAAATAATTAATAATAAATATTAATTACACTTTTATGTTTATGTACGTACATTTAAATTTGTAAATATATAGAATCTTCAAGGCTAAATATTAAAAAAGTATGTTTTATTTTAGATAAATTAATTAATTGTATTGATATTTTGATATTATTTAAAAATAAAGATATTATATAAATGAATAAAACGGCATAAATAATGGATATGTTAATTCATGAACTTAGTGGTGGGCCCCATACAAATGCTAAAGACAAATTTTGCATAATCATTTCCACGTCAGCGTGCTAATTAGAGTTTACGGGCGAGATAAACTTCCCTTTAATTTTTTTTCTTACCGGGGTTTAATTTATGTTTAGGGTGGGAATTTAACGTTTTAATTTTTTCCAAAATTTTTGCATATTTATCAAAAATATATAATAATTTTTACATAAAAAATCCAGAAAGAAAATAAATAGAAATAAAAATAAAACATGCGGTCTACCTTGAAAAAAAAAAATTAGCATGTTGGGTGATATTAAAAATGATGCACTCAACATTAACTTGATTGCGAAAAATTATGGCGCGAAGTAATAAACGTGAAAGCGAAAGTTTTAATGCAGTTGGATGATGATGATTGAGGTCCAAGGATGATGATTAGGGTCGAATAATAGTGGCTAGATAATGATGGACGGGCGATCGTGATAGAATGATGGCAATCGGGTGATGGTGATTCGAAAGTTAAGCTCGGGCGATGGCGTCAGTCGATGATAGTTAGGAAATAATATTTGAGCACGATCATGAGATGATGATAATTGATGGTGGTGGTTGTCAATATGAGACATTAGAAAGAGTTTTTTTAAGTTTTTTTTTTTATCTTTAAGCTCTACCAGTCAAGTGTCATTTTTATTGGAGAATATGACTAAACTTTTATGGTGAAGTTTTGGTAGACAGACAAAAATCTCAAACATATCTTGGAACGGCACATATTAATTATGGTTTAGTGATTGTAAAAATTAGCTTTAGTTGATGATGACAATAAGGTAATATCAAACGGTGGTGATTGTCAATACTGATCAGTAGTAATCGGATAACAAGCTTGATCGGATATATCGGCATTGATCAATGTTTGAAAACCTTTTTATTTAATGTTACTATTAATCAATGTTTGAAGTGAAGTATTATTATTATTTTTTGGCTTGAAGGCTTTTATTAATTTCATAATAATTATTGATACACCGCCAATAAATTTTAATCATCCGGCACGAATCTCAAAATATGACATGGATCTCGGGATGATATTTGAGCAAGAAACGTTCAAATCTTGAAAAAAACTAATCCAGAGCTCCATTTTCTACAAAATTATAGTCAAAATGAGCGCTCTATTAGGCGGACCTAATGATAGCAAAGTTAGTCCACTCTCAGACAAATCGAGCTCAGATCAAGTCATTAAACCATTCTTGAAATATTTATAAATACATTTGGAGGGTGAAACGGATGTCGAATCTAACAAGTTTATTGTTGAATCGAGCACCACGACAAGACGAATTCAACGAGCAAAGATCACTTAATTCTGACATCATTAAATCATCCAAATGTCCATTAAACGCTCTTTCATTGAGGAAAGCTCTCCGGATCATTCGATTAAAATAGTTCATATTCCTGCACTAATTGTATCCATAACACTATAAATAGAGTCCACCCCTCTCATGAGAGGAAAGTTTAAGCTTAGAGAGAGAGCCTGAAGCCTTGAGGATGAGCTAAAGCTCAATATCACCGTTGTCTGTCGTTGCCCATCGTCAACCGTCGTCGACTTCTATCGACCGCCGTCGACCCCTGCAGAGCGCTGACTTCCGTCGACCACCGCCGACCTTTGTTGACCTCCTCTAATTGTCGTCGGCCACCTCCAACCACTATCGATCACCACAAACCAATCGCCATCAATAAACGTTGTAATCTGAAAAATAGAGTTACATTTTCCCGTCCCTAAAAATACTTCTATTGAATATTTTATACTAGGGCTTTAAATATTTACACCGTTGGTCTTCGGTGAAATGAATGGGAGAGTCCTGCATGCTCTTCCATATCAATTTATAGGATACAAATTAGGATTGTAGATAATAAAATGCCTATAGATGCATTTTTTCAAAGATTTTAGAATCTAGGGCTTTGAGGATTCTTATAGAAGCAAGCTCGAACAATTTCCCCTACTAAAATTAGAAGAGGAATTTCAATAAATTATAGTAATTAGGGCATTATTGCTAAGCATAGTGTTAGCAATTCGAGTTTTAAATTAAGAAATTATGACTGTTGTTTGCCGAAAAATTCATGACAAAGGAGTTATTATTTAATGTCTTAGTATTACAAAAAGATTGAGTATACACTCAGATAAAAGAAAATACCAGTGGAGACACTCAAACTTTTCGTGTAAAAAAACCTTGAAAACAAGAAAAAAAATTTTATGGCACTTAGATAATCCACTATATGGTTGTAAGTGCATGAGTGTATCCTTCTCATGCAAAATAAAAATATTATTATAATCCTACACTGAAACTTACATTGTATTTTTACATCACAAAGAAAATACGTGTATTAGGCTCAATGTCGTATTTAGAATACAACTGTTGCAAGAGGATCGATGACATCCAATGGTTGGCAGCGGCAGCCAATATCGGTCAGTGGTGGCCGACGATGGTTAATGGCGGTGGTCGACGGTGGTGGACAACTACGAAGGTCGGTGGTTATTGTCGGGTCTTCTCTTCATAACAAGCTAAGAAATTCCTCTTCTCCCCCTTCCCCTCCAAGTGAAGCAAAGGTGTTTATTTATATGATTTTGGAGAGAGACTTTTTGTTTTTTTGGCGTGCAGCTTCACTAACCAATTGATCAAATGATTCATGTTGATATTCCCTCTGATCATAGAAAGTTTTCAAATTATTTTGAAGTCTCAATGACATTAAAACTGAGCAATCTTAGACTTGTTGGATTCCTCTCGTCGAAACGCTCAATTTAAAAATATGTCAAATTCAGAGTTCATTTGACAATTCAATTTATGATTCAAATCCTCTAAATGTGCTTTAATAGCTTGATTTGAGCTTGATTGGACCCGGATTGAGAAACAATTTTTTTATCATTGCATTTATCTTGTTGATATAGTCAATTTGATTATACATTTGCTAAAATTAGGACCCATATGATCTTAAATTTGAATTTGAACGATCATTACACAAAATGCATCGAGATTCGTGCTAGAGGACACAAAAATTCTCGATGATGCATCAATCGCTAGCTATGAGCATTGAGCGGACATTCGAGGAATGATGAAGAACCCGATTAAGATCTAATGAGTTTATCGTCCTAAATTGTCTCAAGATTTAGAGTTTTATGGGGGAATGACCATGACCCGATTATGATCTCACGATTTTATTATCTTAAATTATCGTGGTCCATGACCTACTTATCCAAAAGAAAATATTTTCTTGCTCTTATTTTAAGAAAATGTCTGATAAATCATCACAAAAATAACTAATATACATTAATTTAAATATGAATCAATTAAGGAGTGAAATAGTTATTTAATTCCTATTGCTTTGGTAATAAACACATATTTAACTGAATTCAACGAAGATTATATACTAATAATATTATTGTCTCTTATTGCTTGCACCAGACAGGTTGATATAACATTCATGCAATGCTGTTATCCGTCTAGGTTCACTCGCGTCCAGGTTCTTAGTTCAATTCGGAATCTTTGCATTTCATCTGGTACGTGAGCGCCACCTCAAATGGCTTCACAAATCACGAGCTCACAACGCCAATAGCGGTTGTATCAGCTGCTGCCAACTAAATAGTCATAATGAGGTGTGATTAATATGAATGAAAAAAATCAAAAAGTAAATTTACCATTTTTAAAAATTAGGAAAAATAAAACAAATTTAAATAATTATTTGTATGTTTTGGAGGATTAAAAATACAATTGATGAAATTTCAAAATTTAAAAAACTCAAATTGGAGATTGAGCCATCATTTACAATATGATTGATGTGTAATAGCCATCGATATGATTTTTATAGACTCGATTTTTTGGGAAAAGTTGAGCTCAAATGACAATATGCACGATTCGAACCCATGACTTTACAGAAGGAAATTAAACTTTCAACCACTGTGTTGTGAGTAAGTGCACTTATTAAATCCAATTTAGTCAATATTATGATTTTTTTAGACTCAATTTTTTGGGGAAAGTTGAGCTCAAATGACAATATGCACAATTCAAACTCACGACTTTACAGAAGGAAATTAAACTTTCAACCACTATGTTGCGAGTAAGTGCACTTATTAAATCCAATTTAGTCAATAATTTTGATGCATGTGAATTTTCTTAAACTGTTAAATTTGACTATTCAGTGCACCCAATTGAGTGAAGAGGATTTGTTAGACAGTTTGTAAAAGTTTAATATTGATTTTAATTATTTA